CCCCCCCCCTTCCTCCTGCCTCGTATGCAGGAGTCCTCTGCCGCCTGTCTCCCGCAGGACGCCCGCAGGACGCGCTCTGTGACAGACCGAGTTCTAAAACACTCCTTTCTCCGCTTGGGCGTGACCCGGGCATGCGGTCGCTCCTCTTGTCATGCAAAACTCGACGTGCCCCGCAGCCCATAGCCCGGCGGCGGGAGCGGAGCCGGGCGGCGGACACGTAACTGAAACGGTCGTGGAGCTGAGATACGCGGGTGTTCCCTGCTGCCCATGCGTCCCCCCCACCCCCACCCCTTTCACCCTTCCACCTTTAAAAAAAATATCAGCAGGATGCGCAGCAGCAGCAGCAAGAGGCGGAGGCAAAACTGATTTGTAGTTGTCAGCGACTGACTGACTTTACCCACTGTCTCACTGGCGTGACGCGTTCAAAGGACGGACCGCCCGGAGAAGGATCGCGGGCTCCTCCTGGGCTCCTCCTGACGCGGAAATAGGCGCCGTTTAGCCGAAAGGGAAAAACGGGGGGTGGGGGCTGCTGACACACTCCTACAGCTGATAGATCACCACCCACGGATTATATAGAAATGCCACAAATTTGTTCAGTACTCGAGTACTTCTGCGCTGCGTGGTAAAACGCTTGCCTCGGCCGGGTCTTGGGGAGTAGTACAATCTCCACACACGTCCTGTCCTGTAAAACAATGTTGGGAAAGCATAAAGAGCTCCGCCTTCCGCAACCCGGCCCGGACCGCGAGGGGACCAAACCACAACACCACACCCCGGGGAGGGCTAGGCGACGTGCGTGAGGCGTGTGGTCGATGTAGGAGAATGCGGGCCGGTCACCGCGGGGTCCCGCGGCAGCTTGCCGTGGAGCTCGATCGAAAAAGAGACCGGTGAGGGAGGAAGGGATTTTTAAGTTAGGAATTTTCTATAAAACAATATCCCCTTCATTACTACATTAGGACGTAGTTAGAGAAAGAAGAGGTAGTGATGGTGAAGGGCTCTGCCAGCGAGACGGTAGAAAATGTAAGCCGAGGCGAGCGACGTTTCCTGGGCGTGCCCTGGGCGTCAAGTACAAGAAGGGGAGCCCTATGGAGAGTCCAGTTCTGAGGCTCGTTTTTGTTTTGTAGTGTGGCAGTGGGGTGGCAGCGTGTGTGATGTTTGCGCTGGACGGTAATGCGCCTGCCGGTATGTGTGGACAGGTCCCCCCCGACATGCTCCGCGCCGAGCCACGCCACGCCACGGCGGGCCCCCATACCAGAAGGTGCCCCGGCCCGGGCCATTCAAACGGCTGCGATGCGCATACTCTCTTGCTTCCCTTTTAGCCTTCAAACCTCGCCCTACTTACAAGCGGTGGTGTACTGATCGTGTGTCCTCCGTAAACTTTGTCGTGTTGAATATGTCACTATGGGCCCACAGTGACGGCCATATGGACCCGACGACGTGTGGTGGTCATGGCCATCCATGGACACACACATACACACAGAGTACCAGTATGTGGTGCACCCTACCCAAATCACCTCAGCCCAGGTCCCGAGAGTGTTTTGTGTGCAAACACAACACACAACGCCCCGACCCTGAGTGGCCGGACCGCCCAGACTCGCTCGCATTACGGGGATGGGAGTAGAAAGTGACTCCCTTGTGTCAGGTGTTTGACATCATCTCTCCGTACCGCGCCGTGTGTTCCTAGGGAAACCGGGGGGGGGGGGGAGGAATAATGTAGAAGTGTTTAAATCTAGGGTTGTCAAAGCTGGTTCTAAATTCCTTGCAGCAATCCACTAGTAAACCAAGCCCATCGGGTAGACTTGGCCTGACCTGGTGTTATTAGACGAACAACTAAGTCGTCGCCATCTCAGATAGCAACCTCTGGTTTGGTTTCCTGTGTCACTGTCGAACTCGTCGAACTGCACTTAGGAATCATCCAGAAAGCACGTCCCTCACTCACCGCTACAAACCTGCCAAGTTCAGCTTCCGCAAGCTCTCATGGCGCCTTATAGGTAGGCAACGTCTTGCCTGCGTTGCATATGTGTACTGCGGGGTGGCCTAGCCCGAGTCTCGCAGGCGCCTAGCTCCCGTAGTTTGCCGTATGTCTCTGAGGAAAAAGGCGGGACTTTCTAGGCGATCTCGTAGTATATCGTCACCCAAGCGGACGGCACTCGGCCGTCTCGTATGAATGAGCCATGGCTTTCCACTGGTGCAATACTATGGAAAAACATATAGAATCTGCCCAATAAGCTCGAATGAAGTCAAACTGGCTGCTCAACGGCCGTTAAAGACATGACATGACTTATCCGTGACATTTTCGTGCCACTGGGGCCGGAGGCAACGGGCTAAGAAGCATGGGCACGGCAACTCCCACCGCCTGCCCCGGCCTGCCCCCGCGCTGCCTATGGCTCGTCCCCTGCTTTTGTGCCTGACCGGGCTGCACTACTTGGCCTCTCTGAGGAGCCGGTCGTCATCCGCGGCCCGCTGGGCCCGCCTCGCCCACCACGGCCCGCCTACCGCGGCGGGGGAGGACCAAACGGGCGAATAATGGCGAGCAACAAGAAGAGTGAGACGGTGCTGCTAGAACTCATGCGTGGACGACGGCGCGGAGAGGAAAGGGGGGGGCGGACAGGACAGGAGGCTGCAGTGGCGGGACTCGACCTCACCGTCGCACGGAACTGGGGCGGCCGCCCCGCGAGGCGCTCTGCTCGACTGCACCAGGAGCAGTGCCCCGGGGACGAGGATGTGTCCTGTCCCTCCGGCCGCTCAAAGCGCGCCCGGGTGTAGCTGTGGGGCGTGACACGCCAACGTGACAAACTCCTCCACCTTAAATTTTGTAGCCCGGCCTATTGACGCGTCAGCGGCGTCAGCGAACCCTTCCACCGCCAGGTATAGCCCCTGCTCCTCGCCCACTCCAACCCCCTCCCCCTCCAAGTCCGCACGGCCCTCCGTTTGTTGGGTTTGCCGTTGGTCCTTTGAATCTTCCTCGATCATCTCTGCCGACGATCTCCGCACCGAAAAAGAAAAGGAGGACAGGTGCCAGTGCCCGTCCCGTAGTTTGAGCAGCGAGCAGCAGCAGCAGGGCGCAGGGGCGCGGTGCAGGCCGACCCCACACAGTGGGAGTTTTCCGGTAGGATGGGCCTAACGCGCAGTAGCTTGCAGGACACGCTGCCCCCCTTCCCCTCTTTCTCTCTCTCTCTAGAGTGTCTTCTCTTCAGTAGCTGCAAGGTGTGAAGTATGAAGCGTTGGTGCGTGCCCCCCCCCCC